AATGACGACATTTATTTTACATTCTACTGATTTCCACAAACATATATGTAATTCTGCAGCAAAGATGCAGCGGAAGTACCTGACATAGATTGGGACAACCTTGGTTTTGGGATAATTCCTACCGATTATATGTATGTCATGAAATGTTCTCAAGGTGGAAACTTTGCCAAAGGCGAATTACAACGTTTTGGGAACATTGAATTGAATCCTTCGGCTGGAGTCTTAAATTATGGGCAGGTTGGATCATTCAATTACTTTTAAGTATGATGTTTTTGTTAAATAGTTTTGAAGTTTATCTTATGATCTATTTATGAAGTGTCATGGTTTGGTCTCACTAAACACTTGAAAGATAATTAAGAAAGCTCCATTTCATTTAAGCAGCTCTGCTCTCATTCATTCTTATTCGAGCTTGGTCTTATCCTTGTTATAACTGAAATCTGATCTCAACAGTGGACAGCTTTCCAGAAAGTTTTGTAGAAGGGTCAAATATTCTAGTGAACAACAAATAGAGGGACAAAGTGGCATTGATGGGATCTCAATGAGTGGCTAGAAATGGTCAGAATGCCTTCTGAAAAGGAAGGAAAGTGGATACGTTTGTTGGAAAAATTGTTATTGTGTTGAAGGAGATTTTTGGTGTGTTTTTGGGAACATTGGCCACAGAAGTACTTAGGCTTTGTAGTTGTGTTATAGATCGGTTGCATTTGTGAACTAATTCAACTTCCCATTGAGGATCTACACCATTACATTCAGTTATGATCTGTGGTCATACATTAAGTATAAGGATAACATTTTGATTGAATTGCTATTAAATTATTTTGATTGAATTTCTATTAAAAAAAATCTATAAGATATTATATTTTACTTAACAAATATTGCCCTCGCCAAGTAGGGATTATTTGAAGGTCTAAAAGCCTACAGAAAAGAAGATGGTACTATTCTTCTCTTTCGACCAGAGGAAAATGCATTGAGGATGAGGATGGGTGCAGAGAGGATGTGCATGCCATCACCAACTGTTGGTCAGTTTGTGGAAGCGGTGAAGGAAACTGTTTTGGCCAACAAACGTTGGGTAATGAATAATACTGTTTACGTTGTGTTTTCATTTTGTTTGGGATGTAGTCTATGATGATAAATCTCATATTAGCTGTCCGTGCATTTCAGGTACCCCCTTCAGGTAAGGGTTCATTGTACATCAGACCTTTACTGATGGGTAGTGGAGCAGTTCTTGGTCTCGCTCCTGCTCCTGAGTACACCTTCTTAATTTATGTTTCACCTGTTGGAAACTATTTTAAGGTTCGTCCTTTTGTATATTCATAAGTTGTAATTCTACTTTTATTGGGCGTTTTCACGTGTTTTTTTTTTCAGACTGTTTATACACAATTGGGGTTTCAACTTAAATGCATTATTGATGCTAATAATGTGATCTTTATTATCTGGCAAAATGCTCAACTTCTAATTGATGAAATTGAGAAACCCACTTCCTCTGCTGAATTGGAAGCAGAACTGTTAAAATTAATATGATTAAGATCTATTATTGTTTGCCAAACGTGAGGTTATTTCCTTTGTCTAAAGATTAACATGTGATGTCACTTATTCATAAGTTAATTTCTCTTAATATTTTTGGGTCGCAATGCATTTTTTTCATATGCCTCAAAATTTAAGATCTATTTCTGACTACAGGAAGGTATTGCACCAATAAATTTAGTTATTGAGCATGAATTGCACCGTGCTACACCTGGAGGCACTGGAGGTGTAAAAACCATTGGCAACTATGCTGCGGTGAGCAAGTTTTTCTGATTGATGAACTTTCTTTTTTCATACAGGGTTATGAAACAGTTGATACATTCTCAACAATGAATAAACATTTGCAATATTTTCACAAATGAGCCAGGGCCAGTGCATAAAGCTTTGGTTATATTTTGGAATGATGCAATCATGTTTCACTTCCTATCTAAAAAAACGTGTCATTTGATCTTAAGTTTTTAGTAAAAGACCTCAATTTGTGTCTTGAGGGATGACGGGAATCAAGTTCTTTTCATTTCATTATGTTGTTTTTTTCTGAGCTGAAGGATTTAAAACGATGTTCCTACCATAAAATTATAGTTTGGTGGGAAAAATTTTGTTGTTATGCTTTGTATTTTATGTGCATTACTCCTATTATTGGGATGATTGATATCATTTTCTGCCTGTTAAATTTCAGGTCCTGAAGGCACAATCTGCGGCAAAAGCAAAAGGCTATTCTGATGTTTTGTACCTTGACTGTGTGCACAAAAAATATCTCGAGGAGGTTTCATCATGCAATATTTTTGTTGTGAAGGTACTCTGCTGATACCATAGTTATTCAATTATTATTATTATTTATTATTTTTTTGAGAAAGTATTCATTCTTATTATTTCTTTTTAATAAGAAACAAATTGCATTAATAAAAAAAAATGTACAAGGTAAAAGACCGACAGAATTTTAGGGTGACTCAGACAATCTTGAGTTACAATGTAGAGTTCCAAAAAGAGGACTCGATGCAGCAATCCATCCTATCTATAGACAGACTCACTGCCTGGAAAAAGACCTTCTATTCCTCTAAAGAAGCACATTCTACAGAATAGTTCTAATAGATTAAGCCAAATTAGTTTTGAATTTTTCTGGAGGATGTATAGAAGGGGACAGAGCCATATAATCTTTTGTGTTTGGAAATCCATCGCCTAGTTGAAAATCTGATGCAGTTTGGTACACAAATTTGAGATGAAAATACAAGTGCAGAAAATATAGCCGGTTGTCACTTTACTTCTCTTACACAAGTAGCACCTGCTTGGGCACAAACATAAAAGGATGTTTTTTGCCCATAAAAGGATGTTTTTTGTTGGATATTAACTCGTATGTTAATACCCAACGACCAAGGACCAAAAGAATGGTTGGTTTAATAGCGATTTTGTTTTTAGTTTTCTCTTGTATGAAATATTAAAATTTCATTGTTTTGTACCTTACTTTTCAAAAACGTGGTTAAAAGTTTCTTCGAAGAAGTGTTTTTAAGAAGTGAAAAATAAGACAAAGAAATGCGTAGTGAAGCGTACATTGGCCATAATTTTCTTATGGTATTTGTTTTTCCAAATGGGCTTTGCATCGATGATGTTGTATCATCCCATTTCCTTTAGTTTGAATTATCCCATTTTCGACATCAAAAGGGGCCTTTCCTCGGGTTTTATTTTTGTTATTTCTTTTTATGTCCATTATTTTTGAAAGTAAATAAATAACTTAATAAAATTCCGAACACCAAAGTTCTAGTGCTCAATAATTGTTTAGATATATATTATTAAGTATCCAACCTATGTTAGTTGTGCTTAACACGTGTTCCACACATCTCTAACAAATATGCACTTGTACCCAATTTATTCTATTAACACGTGTCTATTATGCTTAACAATACTTTCCAATATACGACATACATGAACACATTATCCAAATTAAAGGGTTCATGCTTCATAGGATAGGGTGAAAGGATTTAGAAGAGGAGTTTCTTAAGTCATCACATAACCAAGGTCTTCGGTCCTTAACATTTGAAAGGATAGGTTCACATTTTCCAATTTAAGAACAAGATTGATCCACTCATTCACTTCAAAGTCGAAAAGACTCTTTCTACAGTTTAAATTCCAGGTAACTGAGGCATCGAACCAACTAACAGCCATTAGTGAACTTTTGCCATTAGCCATTGTAAAAGCTTAGGAAACGAAGAACCCAAGGGGGTTCGATCAGCATATTTCTTATTAAAGATGTACCGAATGTTCATAGTTCCATTAAAATTGTTTATTATGTGTTGTTAATTTTAAAGATAGAGATCAATGACAGCTGAAACTTTCAAAGCAAAGAATAATAGCTACTAGGTCCCAAGGATTAATTTATCAAGCTTTGAATAACGAAGGACTCAATTGGGATCTTCCCCTGATGATATATGCGAGTCATTACTTCAAAAGATACTGGAAATCAGCCAATAAATAGGGTTTGGCTGTCCTATCTTCCGAGGATATCTTATGCTTCACTGTCCAATGAGAAGTTTCATTTCTCGAGTCAAGACTTTACTATTCCCAAACCTTAACGTTCTTAAACGTTCTACTAAAGTGTGTGTATATATATATATAATGGAATCATCCAGAAAGCCTCCAACACGATAGGTTTGGGGGAGTAGGTTTGGAGTATTGTTACAATCCATGAGTTTTTCCAACAAACTCCATGCTTGACAAACCCACAGAACAAACATAGGTTCAGCATCTTAAGCCAAATGTACTCAAAACCTAAACCCTCACCTAAAACCCCCTTATAGGTTATAGAAGTTTCAATCCTATACTAACAACCGGATGTTCATCTAGCCGCCTTTATTCCGGATCAACTAATTTTCAACTTTGGGCTTATTTCTACAAAATTTTACTATCTGACTAAGGGGGCTGCATGATACACGTCACTAATAGTTTTATGTAATGTGTCAACTTTTCTTTTTACTAATCTTATATCCTGAAATTTTTTTGGCTACCTTGATAATTGCTAGCTGAAATTTCCCTGTTGCATTTTTGTTATCAACTGTCTGCGATTTTCTGTTTGCTTCAACAAATCTTTAAATTGAATATTGTAGTGCTCACGTGACTACACCTGACATTTATTTTGATCTGCTGATGCAATTGCACCCGGCACCTTATTATCTTTTTTCTCTCATTAGGGCAATGTGATCTCTACTCCTGCCATTAAAGGAACAATATTACCTGGAATTACGAGAAAGAGTATAATTGACGTTGCTCGTAGCCTTGGATTTCAGGTTCTTGACCATTATAACTTCTATTATATTTATGTTTATAATTTTATTTTTGTAAAGAATGTTGCTTTGCTCATAACCTTGTCAACCCAAGGTAGTAATAGTTATTGCCACCCTGTTTTTGTCTTCACTCCTCTTGGTTTGGGTTTAAATCTTTTAATAATTTTTTATTGCCCAGTTGTATATAAATGAAAGAATGGGGGTTTTTTTTTTTAAATAATAAATAAATGAAAAAAAAACCACCCTGATTTAGTTCAATGATTCAGGGCAAGCTGTAGAGGCAGCCTAGTTGCCCATTTTGATGCCTTTCAAAGGAAAAGGTATTTGAAATTATTTTAAATAACATACCATCCATGACAACTATGCTAGAAAATTAAGGACAACAAGTTTTACAAAAGAATTAACCAATCATATTTCTATTGATTTTTTGTTCTGAAACATAGAAAGGTATATTTACAAATAATTTTCACGTGTACTTTCTGATATTTAGATTTCAATTGGCATGTTTATATTTTTTTTTGGAATAAAATAAGATTAAGTTGGTCATCCTTCTGGCTGTTTGGATACCCCGATAAATAAAGATAATCTGTTTATATTGGTAAAATGATTAATTAAGAGAAAAGAAATAATAAAAAAAAAGAAGTGGGCACTGATTTGAATGAGTGCAGGTTGAGGAACGATTTGTGGCAGTGGATGAGTTACTTGACGCTGACGAAGTATTTTGTACGGGGACAGCAGTGGTTATATCACCTGTGGGCAGCATCACATATCTCGGAAAAAGGTAAAATTCTGTAACAAATTTCTGAAACAATATCTTGACACACTGCGAGACCTTTAGACAATGGAATGAGTTGTTGGGAAATTGAATTTGCCTTCTGATTGAAAATACACGTTTCCGTACTCATTTGTTTTTGAGTTAGAAGAGATTGCAACAGGGTTAGAGTGGGATTAAGTCTCATCAACACAGACCATAGATTTCCCATAGATTTCCCAACGTATCAGTACTAATGCACAGAATCTCATCAAAACTCTATAATTAAGCGTCTTGCGAGATTTAAAACTAAGTTAGGTTGTCACTTGGTAAATAATCGGGTTCTACTCTTTATTATAACACAAACCATAAATTACTTTTGCCGCACAAATGGACTTGAAATGGAAAATCATTTGACTTTGAGATGCACCTGCTTTCTTTTGACGTCAGTTGCTTGAGTAGGGGCAATGCAATGATATGGACATGTGTGGTTTTTGGGTGTTAGACATGAAAGCATTCTCCTTGTATGTATTGATTTGATGCCTGAATTTTGCAGGATATCTTATGGGGATGGTGTTGGAGCTGTTTCACAACAACTCTATTCTGTGCTTACCAGATTGCAAATGGGCCTTACGGAAGATAAGATGAATTGGACTGTCAGTCTATCGTAGGTATATGAGGTGACATTGTAGAATCCTCGTTTGCC